ATAATGACCGGGGGTCATTTTTCGACAGCAAAAATTGACTCCCGGTCAATATTCTACGGCGAAAAATGACCCCCGGTCATTATTCGCCGTAGAATATTGACCCTTTTGCCCGTAGAAAAAGTGTCACCACCCTAAAAATTTGCAGAACCCACATGAAGAAAAATGACCCCCGTAGAAAAATGACTCCCTGTTGATTAAAGGTGGAATTTTGAGGGGGCAAAAAAAATTAGTTAAAGAAGCATATTGGCCAAAATGTTCACCTGAGCTAATTGGGAATAAATTGATGATATGTTGATCTCATAACATAATACAATCATAGCTATATATTTTTTTAAGGTCAGTGCGATGATTCAGAATCTAAAGGAGTAAAAGATTTATCGAGTCTAAAGGTTTAGGTAAACATTATTTTTCGATGGTGGAAATCATCGTACTGACAGAAAAAATCAGCAGTATTATATATTATTATATCCTCCGCTTGAAATGCGGGAGGGTATATAGTGATCGGGATGTCCGTCCGTCTGTTACGCTTTGGGGTATCCATCTCTTATCCGCAACTCCTCTTATACATAAAAAGATGTATTTGTGAAACTATGCCCCTGTGTGGCAACATAGCGAGTATTAAACTTTTCTTCAATGCAATTTTAATATATTGGTCATCTCACAAGAAATACAATTGCAAAATAGGAAAGCCCTAGCACCACTTGTTCAAAAGGAATGGCTAAGGATAAGTTTTTGAAAGGTAGGTCAAACTCAAAGGTCAAAGGGTCAAAGTTGACGGTTTCTTAAGAAAGGTTTAATGTAACAAGGATTACATGTGAAGTATGAAAACCCTAGCCCTTACCGTTCAAAAGTTATGGCCAAGGTTAAAGGTTTTTTCATAAGTACGGAAATCTCCAAGGTCAAGGTGTTATACCCACCCCACCCCCTTACTTATTTAGGAGGTAGTCGATTATCAAAAAAAAGCAACAAAAAAACTACCCTACCTTTATTTTTCTATATGGAGGGACTAAAAATAAGCTACTATATTCTACTAATTTTCGACTGTTACTTTGCAACAATAATTTCAAGTATACCCACACCAACATTTAAGGTATGCTTTCATCATGGCGAAGTAAATTATGATATAATAGTACTTGTGTGAAGGCTTAACTTCATTTCAATATTTTATCTAGAGCCTCTTTCAGTGTTATTGAAGGGTATAGAGTTTTATTTATATTTTTGCTTTTCATTTATTAGGTCTTTCCACCTTTCTGTGGAAAGACCTATTGATATTCTTCTGTTTATTATTAGGTCTTTCCACCTTTCTGTGGAAAGACCTCTTGAAATGCTTCTGTTTATTATTATTTTATTTCTGGACATGTTTTGAAACCGTAAGACTTATCGAAAAACTTTATAGTTCATGATATTGGATATTAAAAGTTATTCCGAAAAATGACCCCCCATATTTGATCTTTGACTCCTTTCGGAGTTATTGCCCCTTTCGCAAGAAATGCTTGTTATCACTACTCCTCAGAAACCGTAAACCATAGAAGTATGAAACCTTCACCAATGTCTTCAACTAATTGAGGGGACTCTTCAGTCTATTCATTATGAAAGTATTCGATGACCCCTTCAATGAGTTATTGCCCCTGAAACTTTTTGAATATTATAAATAATTAAAAATTTTCAAAACGAGAAGTCGTAGAATCATGGAACCAACTGCATAAGATTCAGTGACCTTTGACCTTTAAAATTATGAAAAGGTCAAAGGTGAAGGTCATTCCAAAAATGAGAAATTGAGCTCTTTTTATATCTCTTTTGTCTTTTAACATATACTAAATGTCTATGCATCATTAATATGTACTTTTAGAACTGTTTCAAAGATTTCATTCTTGTCCCCTAACATTAACCCTTTTAAAAGTTATTGCCCCTTGTGCGAAAAACCTTGTTATCGCTACTCCTCCGAAACTGTAAACCGTAGAGACACCAAACCTTCACTAATGTCTTAAGGGTCTTTAGGCCTAACTTCACTGTATAAGTGCAAAAGGATCTGATGACCCCTTATATGAGTTATTGCCCTTTAACTTCTTTGTACTTACTATTAAACCTTATAACTTCAGAACTAAAAGTCGGAGAGGCATGGGGTCAATTGCAATGTGACCCTTGACCTTTGACCTTGAAAATTTATTCAAGGTCAAAGGTTATGGTCATTTCAAATTTTAAAATTTTTCATTTTTTCTACATCTTTGTATCTTTTAAGCCATTTTTTCCCTTTTTTATGGCATTTAAGGAGTTAGATATAAAACAAAACAGAAATTCAGAGAAGGTGGAAAGACCTCTTATTGTTCTGTGAACAATAAGTCTCCTAGTTATTTTTATTATTTTTCCGCCGGACGAATTTTTGTTTCAAGGTCTTTTGAAAAGATTTATAGTTTATAAAAATGTACTTTGTAAGAGATATTTGCAAAAAACCCTGCGTATATGAACTATGAATTCTTTCGAAGTTATTGCCCCTTTCGCAAGAAATGCTTGTTATCGCTACTCCTTCGAAACCATAAACCGTAGAAATATGAAACGTTCACTAAAGTCTACGACTAATTGAGAGGACTCTGGAATCTATTCATTGTGAAAGTATTTGGTGACCCCTTCAATGAGTTATTGCCCCTGAAACTTTTTTAATTTAAGAAATAATTAAAAATTTTCAAAACGAGAAGTGATAGAGACATGGGACCAAATGCATAAGATTCATTGACCTTTGATTATGAAATTAATGTAAAGGTCAAAGGTCAAGGTCATTCCAAATTTGAGAAATTAAGCTCTTTTTATATCATTTTTGTTCTTTAACATATACAAATTTTCTTAGCATCATTAATATGTACTCTTAAAACTATTTTAAAGATTTAATTTGTATTCCTTAAGATTAAACCTATTAAAAGTTATCACCCTTTGTGTGAAAAACCTTGTTATTGCTACTACTTCGAAACCGTAAATTGCAGAGACATGAAACCTTCACTAAAGTCTTCAACTAATTGAGAGAACTCTTGAATCTATCATTGCGAAAGTATTAGATCACACCCTCAATGAGTTATTGCCCCTGAAACTTTCTGAATTTTACAAATAATTAAAAATTTTAAAAACGAAAAGTTGTAGAGATATGTGACCAACTGCATAAGATTCATTGACCTTTGGCCATGAAATTAATGCAAAGGTCAAAGGTCAAGGTCATTCCAAATTTGAGAAATTAAGCTCTTTTTATATCATTTTTGTTCTTTAACATGTACAAATTTTCTTAGCATCATTAATATGTACTCTTAAAACTATTTTAAAGATTTAATTTGTATTCCTTAAGATTAAACCTATTAAAAGTTATCACCCTTTGTGTGAAAAACCTTGTTATTGCTACTACTTCGAAACCGTAAATTGCAGAGACATGAAACCTTCACTAAAGTCTTCAACTAATTGAGAGAACTCTTGAATCTATCATTGCGAAAGTATTAGATCACACCCTCAATGAGTTATTGCCCCTGAAACTTTCTGAATTTTACAAATAATTAAAAATTTTAAAAACGAAAAGTTGTAGAGATATGTGACCAACTGCATAAGATTCATTGACCTTTGGCCATGAAATTTATGCAAAAGTCAAAGGTCAAGGTCATTTCAAAAATGATAAATTAAGCTCTTATTTATATCTCTTTTGTCTTTTAACATATACTTAATGTCTTTGCACCATTAATATGTAGTCTTAAAACTATTTCAAATATTTCATTCTTGTCCCCTTGGATTAACCCTTTCAAAAGTTATTGCCCCTTGTGCAAAATACCTTGTAATCGCTACTCCTCAGAAACTGCTGACTGTAGAGACTCCAAACTTTCACTAATGTCTTAAGGATCTTTAGTCATAACTTCACTATATAAGTTTGAAAGGATCTGATGACCCCTTAAATAAGTTATTGCCCTTTAATGTCTTTGTACTTACTATTAAACCTCATAACTTGAAAACTTTAAGTTGTAGAAGCATGGGGTTAATGAATTGTGACCCTTGACCTTTGACCTTGAAGATTTTTTTCAAGGTGAAAGGTCAAGGTCATTTCATTTTTTTTTAAATTTTCATTTTTTTTATTTATCCTTTAAAGACAATTTTGTTTTCTTATTCATGGAATTTAATTTCAAGGAGTCAGATATAAAACAAAATTGAAATACAAAGAAGCCGGAAACACCCCTTATTGTTTTTTTAACAATAAGTCTCCTAGTTTTTATTTTTTTTTTTTTGTTTTGATTTAACGTAATGTTTTTTTTGGGGGGGGGATTAAAATTTCCTCCTCTTTCATTGTCAAATAGGAGTTGCCAAATTTATACAAGCTAAACGTTGAAATGAAGGAAAAATTAATTTTTCCTATTAAAGAGTATTTAAACCTGATTGTTGCATGGTCTGATTTCTAAAAACAAGGGGAATATCATTCTTTAAGCAAACATTATAAGGAAGAATATTAAAAGAAATTTTATTTACTTGACAATTAAAGAATCTCTTTTCAAACACAATTTTATCATTGAAAGACTACGTGAATCTCTTAATTATTTCATACGACTTTTTGCATTTTTCTGGTTACAGTTTATTCATACATTTAAAATTATGGAAAAGGTCTCTCTCTCTCTCTCTCTCTCTCTCTCTCTCTCTCTCTCTCTCTCTCTCTCTCTCTCTCTCTCTCTCTCTCTCTCTGCAATTTGCCCTTTTATACCGGTAGTTCAAATGATGACAAGAAGATCATCCAAAATGTAGACTTCACAATAATCAAGACAAGTGAATTCCCTTTCACTTATTATAAATTTTGTATCACTTTAAAGGGGGTCATTTTTCAATGGGGTCAATTTTTTATAGGACTTACATATAAAATAATGACTCCTAGGACTCTTTTTCTACAAAAAATGATTTTTTTTCTACGGGTGGAGGGTCATTTGTTGTCGTTGAAAAATGACCCCCCGGTCATTATTCGATGGAGGTCATTATTCGTCTTTACACCGGAATTGTTGGAGTTGTAGTTCTCTTTGTAATAATACTTTCGTGTGTCATAGTCGTAAAATTTAAAAGGTGAGTTTTCAAAGATTAAACTTAAAGACTTTATTCATTTAGAGTATAATTGAACTAAACTGAGACCCATGCAGTCAAACACACGAAAGGATTTCTCCCTATCTTTTTTATCCATAAAAACTACATTTAAGTGAAAAAAGTTTTATCAATATTTTATCTTTCTCATTATTTAGTCCTGGAAAAATCTTTTTCAAACCGTTTATTTTGCCTTTTTTCTAGGAAATCGAAAACCATCCATGGAATGTACAACCTGCAACGCCCTGTTGAAAATGAAATATACAGCGTAAGGGAAACGCTTATCTGAATTTTATTCACTAATATCAGTGTTATTGATAATAAAAATTTGAATGGTTGCAAAACATTGTCTTCACTTTTTGAATACGATTTCATGGTTGATTTAATCTATTGCAGGATGGAGTTGCGGAATATTCAACAGTGCAAGAGACAGCAACTATTGTGAAATCCCTGATCAACACCAAAACAAAATCTAGAGGGTCGGAAAATGAACAAAACAATTATTTCATTCTTGAAAAACTTGAGGCATCATCAAATACTTGTGAAAAGACGAACAAGGCAAAACATATTTCTCCTACTGAAGAGGATATTTATAACAGGCTTCATGAGAAAGAAAGACAGTCTACGGAAGTAGAGGAGAGTGTTTATAGTCACTTCAGCGACTGTAATGAGAGTGTTTACAGCGGCACAATTCACCGTTGAATATTTGAAGAATGCATGCACTGGTTAAGGAATAAAGACAATCTTCTGTTGTAGTACTAAAGGTGCTGAGACACTTTATGTTGCTATTTAAAGCATTTCACACGAAAATATGATAAACAATTATTTTGTATAGAAATTTTTGAAAACACAAATTTCGGTTTAATTGAAACATTCTTGCACTTTCACAAAGACAACTTTATTCGTAATACTTAAATAAATTAGAAATTTTGTTGTGTATTGATGAAAATATTAAAACTATAATCCAGTATATAAATGTGAGATGGCAAATCCAACTCACCAATATTATCAGTCCGTGCTGGTGCTCAGTGATAAAATTAAGATTTAAAAAAAAAACATTTGTTTTAATAATTTAATGAAGTATTGCCTGAGTTTGTTATATCTAGTGCTGATTTATAATAAAATCCGATTGTTATGCAAAACATGAACCATTTATAAATATATTTTATATACTTAGTACATGTACAATGACTTTCCAAAATGTGAAACGCTAAACGCTCAATTGAAAAGGTTTTAATGGTGCTTACTTTAAGAATCTATTGTAAAGCATAGTGATAAGCTTTCAGGAATTATTGTTCTGACATTTTTTATCTATAAGTCACGTTCATTTAAGAATGAAATATATAAAGATAACGAATAGTACTAGGAGTTGAGGGTATGGTGGTTGTCTTTTTCTTCAAGGACAACTCATTTGTGCTTTGACATAACCCGCTATTTTCATTAAATTCATTAAATTGATACTGACCTAAATATTAACATCGTTAAAGAGCTTCCGTGCATTGTCCTAGTGTAAAAGTAAGCTGTCAACTGTAAATGTCAGCACTCCTCACAAAAGTCCAGTATTCAAGCTCAAAAGTTCATTAAACATTCTAAAATTGGAGCATAGCAAACAAGGACCTCCAAAACAGAGGTAGGATCATGTGCCATGGAGGAGTGAGCATGAAGGAGTGAGCATTTCCTGCCGCCCGTCACACCCTCGGTGCCCTCCTTGTCATGATCGGGAAATATCCGACAATGGCCTATCAATTAGTATGAAAAAATGCCTGTCAGCATATGATTTAATCATGAATTGTGTTTGCTGACAGGGTCATTGTATTCACCACAGAATTTACAAAATAAGGACTTAAAACGAGACTGCTGATATTCTTGTTTCAGCAACTTGTTTCTCAATCATTTACCTCGAAATAGAAATTTTTCATACATAGGTACATGCTCTTGCTTTTCCAAACAACGGAGAAATATAAAAAAGAAGTTATGTAATAGCATATGCATACGAGCAAAGTATGGCTTCATTTTTGAAAATATTAAATATTTTTTATTTGAAATTTCTTCTTGGCAAGGAACTGAGGAACATGAATGCATATATGTAGTAAACTAATTAATAACGACTTTCGTTTCGTTTTCAATGGTATGCCTCGCATTTCATTTTCTTTTTATCAGTATACGGCTTTTGCACTTTCCTCTGATTTCATTGGCCAAGAGAGTATCGTTTTTTGTATAAGCCTGATCCTTGAGGAGAAAAGAAATTTTAAAATATTTTGCAACACTTCCTCAAACAGAACAAAAACAAAACAATAATTTAAAAGATAGATATTGATCGCAATCAACTTTTTGCTCACATCTTTTAAAACTGGTAATGGTTGGCTCAAATGACCATCATCTACTTAAAAGTGCCGAAAGGGGAGCAGATGAACTAAAATCGTGTTTAAATATAAAAAAATAGAGGTTTTGATCAATAAACAAAATTGTAGCTAATATCAATATGTAGAACTTCAGCAAATATCAATAATTGTTCTTGAGACACATAAAATATTTATTACATTCACGTATGAACATATCATTAATTTTTTTTTTAACTTATGTTTGCCAAAAAGGTACTTTTTTACTGTTTGCCGCAGAGGTACTGTAGAAAGACATGTACATACAGTTTTTCTTCACACAAAACATAATTAAAAAAAAAACATAATTTGAAAGGTAAATGTGTAAAATGTATAATGTAATTTTTGCTCTCTTCTTCTAAAATTAGTAAAAGTATGTACAAGTGCGCAGCACTTGAAAACTAAAGTACAACAAGAAATATACAATAATCATCTTTACAGTCCTGACAAAAAATCATGGAAAGAAATGTAGACACTCATTTCAGTCAATGTCTTTATATTGTTAAATTAATTTACTTCTATTAAGCTACAAAGGAAAAAATCCGATTTAAACTACATTGTATACATAGAGTCAACTTGAACTTCCCTTTCAGAATGATTGATTGATTGTATACTGTTTAACGTCCCTCTCCAGAATATTTCACTGATATGGAGACGTCACCATTGCTGGTGAAGGGCTGCAAATTTGGGCCTATGCTCGGCACTCAGGGCCATTGAGCAGGAAGGGATCTTTATCGTGCCACACCTGCTGTGACACGGGGCCTCGGTTTATACAGTCTCATCCGAAGGACCGCCTCATTTAGTAGCCTTTTACGACAAGCAAGGGGGTACTGAGGACCTATTCTAACCCGGATCCCCACGGGATCCCTTTCAGAATGAAGGAAAATTTAGCCTAACTTCCTCTTAGCTATATTTATAACACGGAACAATCATATCCAAATGTTTGCACTGTTAACGTCATTTAAAAATTAGTTACTTCCGATTTTGACTTGACTTTTTCTTTATTGGTTTTATCAACAGGAAACCCAAAATCATGAGGGCAAAGATAGATGCAACAGTAACAAAAATAATTATGAAAGTTAATTTTGTTGTGTCTTCCTCCTTGGTTCTGAAATTAGTCATGTTGTTCTCTGTTCCAGTTCCGTTTGTCATCAAAGATATGAATTCATCTGTGTTGTCTTTATCTATGAAATATATAATATAATATTCTAGTAATAACGATTAAATTGTTAAATGTATTTATTTTAATGCTTCAACTCTTAAATCATGGCCATTTAACTAATTCTCTTTGAATGTTTTTTTTTTCAAATTCGACAACAAAATAAAAATTTCTAGTAAAATGTAAAAGGCTTTTTATATATGTAATATGATACATGTACCTACTTTTGACATATCGTATGACAATGCTTCCATCACAACAGGATTCTTCGCCTTCATACAACAAAGACATAGCTGAGTTTTTCACAGTCATATTATACTTTTCTTTTGCTGTACATTGTTCCCATTGCACTTTCATTAAACTGATGGCTTTCTCGATGACCACATGTGAACATGCCCTACACCAATTTGGAAAAGTGCAAAACAATGGCATCAGAAGTTCCATTCCTGGTGACAGTGTTATTTTTGATTTTATCTACAAGTTGTCTCAGTTTTTCAGGCTTTGTCGGAATTTGCTTTTGCATTTGAAACCTTTGCTTAAAATAAGCAACGTGACTTATTTGAATGCAGGAAAATTGTACAAGGTCCAGATATGTATTTTAGAAACCCGACTTCCCATTCCGCCTTTTTTTAAATTGAGGGTACAGAATTGCCTTCCTAATTAACATGTGTTTAATTTTGTAGTTATTTTGTAATGTATTATTGTTTATTCAGAATATAACTTTGGGCAATACAAACCATCAGTTTACTCAAATAGCAACATACTAGTATATTACGAAAATGATGACTCTAAATTGGGGGGTTTGGATGAAACCCCTGGTAAAGTAGTTTATTGTACTGTAAGGATCTGTCAGCTGTCTATAATTTAACTTGTTATACTATGTTATAGTTATTGGGTGGGTGGACTTTACTTGTAATGATATTTCACGTGTGTCAAAACGTTGTGACAACATTGGCCGAGAATGTTAGATTTTGTATTTATTTTTACATGTCATGAATTAATTACCTTTCATCTTAAATCTGCATGTATTTCTAGAGTTAATCGTCATTATTTTAGCAGTTCTACGTGTCTGGATTAGCTGTAATAGTTTGAGTTATCTGCTGCCACTTGTTTACACTCTGTCCGCCATCTTTATATCGGTGCATGCTATCTACATTGTTTCGTATTTTACCTAACTTATTATCCGTGCTATATTACGGGCATAATTACTTGCTATTTATTATGTTAATTGTTATTGTGGGTTATGTTATTCATTTTAGCCATTATTATTCCTGATTACACGTGTCTACAACTTGCACTATGTTTTTATCCATCCGCGATATCGTCTGCATACTCAGCAAAGTTATTTATGTGAAATTTATAGGTTTATGATATAAATTGTTTACTTACTTATTACAGACACATCTCTTGTTATCCACATTTATTGATTATGTTGTCTTTTTACATGTTAGTTCAAGGGTTTGTTTATAATCCAAGTTGTACGACAATTTTGTCCGACAGTACGACACGATTTTCATTTTGTACGATGTCGTACATTGTCGTGATTGGTGGAACGTCGCCGTACAGCATTTTTATTGGTTGAATCTAGTCATGTGACCCTTTTCCGAAGGTTATATATATGGGCCGATTTCATTATGTAAACAGATAATTTGCCGAGTTGTCAGGCGCGTATATTTCAAAGAGACAATTCCAAGATCCGCCCATATTTTCACCGTAGCCTTTTACAGCATTATAATTGTGATTTCAGGTGAGAAAATGATCGACAATTATCTCCCAACACACTGGACACCTATTTAATTGAAATTAACTGTGGAGATCATCCTAGTTAAGCCATTGTACACCCCCCTCTTTTTATAATAGTAGCCTGTACGGTAGACGCCACTAAAATTTATTTTTGTACCTTTTTGAAATGAGTGCTGATTGATGATTAATAAATATTGTTGAGACCCAGAAGAATCTTATGTTTTCCCTATAACCAGAGGAACAAGGATTTAGTACATGAGTACTACCAGTATTTATTTTGTAGCATCCCTGACTTAAGCTTGGCCATTCCCAGGGAGCTTACAGTACATATACACTGACAATTATGATTGATTAGTTGTTGTTGAACGTCCCACGGGAGAATGTTTCATTCATTTGCAGACTCAGTACACTTAGATTGAGTTAACTATACATTAGTCAATTGATTCTGTGTGTTTGATTTTTCTATATCAATACTTTGGTATTTAAACACAGTTAATTGTATTAAAGTTTATAAACATGTTTCAGATTTAGAAAAATACAATCACAATTGCAATTTGTAGTGCTCTTGTCAATAATTTACAATTGCAGATCAAATCTTGTTTTTTTTTTTCAGGATGATTTTTTTTTTTTGGTTTTTAATTAATAAATTAATCTCAATCTTAAATCTTATTTCCATTCGCATTCGATGTATACCACGATGATTTAAGATACCACAGAATCTGACACATCTTTTTTTATATTTGGATATATTTGCTAGAATAAGACGTAAATGGTAACCTAACAACAAAGCTTTCTGATAAACCAAGTGAATTTTTTTTTCAATTGTCATCTCCCCTTACTTATGCAGCAATAAATACCTTTTTCACCTGATTACAGGGTTTTTATTTCTCAGCTGATTCGATATACAAGAGCATGTATATATATGAACTATTCCAAAAACGACTTAAGGTACTGACA